AGCGGAGCTGGGACCGGGGGCGGAACCACGGCTGGAGGCACCGAAGGAGGCAGCGCCGAATCCGAGGGGACGAAGATCGACGCCAGTAAGAACGAGGAGGATGAAGGGTGAGTAAGGGGCAGCCCAGGATAGTGAGGCCCAACTAGGCCCCCTCCCCCCTCCCTATCCCCCGCCATTAGGCCTCGCTCCCGCTCTCAGCCCGCCCTCCAGGCCCCCTTGCAGCGTCCCTGCACTGGTCTCCTCTTTGCTCTCTTGGGCTCCCCGGAGCCTTCATTTCCTCCTTCCCCTGACTGCTTACTGCCCCCTCCCCCATCACACACGTTTCCACCTTTAGCCGTCACCATGCTGCTCCCCGGCCCGCCCTCCTTTCCTCCCTCGCCACGGGTCTCCTCCCACCGACTTAGCCGCCAGGATTTTTTCCCGCCTGTCGAGGACACCTTTTTATCTGTTCCGCTGTCCTCTCTTTTCCTTGTTTTCTCACATCTTGGACAAAAAAAATGCAAATAGAAAAATAAAAGGTTTTTCTGCCAGGATTACTGAGGTTTATTTGGTGTTTCCCCACTGTTAATGAGAGGACAAGTTTATTTGTAAGCACTTGCTTTGGGGAACGTGTAGATCGTCCATCTCTGTTACTCCCGCGTCGGCTTCAGGCCGAATGTTTTTCATTTTAAGTAAGTTTCGCCTTAGGACTTGTTCGATATATATATTTTTTTCACTTTACGCAATCGCACAACGGTATGCCTGTATAGGCCTTACATTTCCACCATGGGACAAATTTGGCCTGCTGATAATGCCCCCAATCCCTGTTAGTACGTTGGTTTTGCTTCGCGGGCTTTCCCTAAGTTCCTTCCCTAGTCGGCGGGGCTTGCACTTGACTGGAGCTGTTCCTACCTCTGGCCTGCTGGATGCCCTTCCCCCCCATCCCACTGAGTTATTCTAACCGCGCACCCTTTTCGCGCCCTCAGCTATTGGGTTTCCCAACTATTCGTACAGATTGTACTGTTAACTTTTTTGTGCATCTTATTATTATTATTATTATTATTTTACATCTCTCCCCACTTTTTGGTGCCCAGGAGCCTTTTTTCGGTTTTATTTCCACCTTCTCACCCACAATTAAAGGATGCCCCCCGCCCTTTTTCATAAAATAAACAGATCCTGTATCGTGCTGTGGGATAAACTTTCTTTTTTCAAGTTCTTAATACAAACTTGCTTCCTTTAATTGGAATAACTTACACATTACTGTCTAAAGCTGCTTGGAAAAATATATTTACAATGCAGCATTAATAAGAGTTAACAGAAGGGACTAAATCCCGGCTCTTAGTTGAGTTTCTCTTATTCCCATTACTGACTATTGATCTTGGGTTAATGCCTCCATTTCTTTTTGTAATGGGGAGGGTGTATATGAAAAAATTTTTTTTCTCACTGTAACAAGGAGAAAGCTTTTGGTGGAGGGTAAAAGCAATAAAATGTCACTAACCCAGTATTAGAAACATGATTTCCTTTACTGGGCAATAGCATAGGGTTCGGAGGGGGTGTTGGGGAAGCACTTTGAAATTAAAGTTTTTAATAATTCAGCCTAGGCAGATTCTTGTCAGGCTGTTTACTGATGGTGCTGGCTTTGGGGGAGTGGAGGTGGGAGGGGAAGTAAACTTTTATTAATTAAACAGAACTAATCTTGAAATATACATAGTGTAATTTGAGAAAAAAATATGTTAAGTATTTGGAAATTTAAGCCTTTAACATTTTGGTTTTCGCTTTCTGAATTCTGTTCTTTGGACAGAGACACCAAAATGATAAATTATAAGTTTGGGGCAGGCTTTTTTGTTAGTCCTGAGTTTTCAAATCGCAAAGCAGCTGCCTTTGTAGTTAGCTGCTGTTGAACTGAAGTGTAAATGAGTTAAAAGTTTTTAACCCTAACAATGTCAAAAACTAAAACTAGAATTTTGATTGGTTGCTGTACCGGTTGTTAATTCCCTAGCCATTCAAACTCCTCCCCACGACACACTGAAGCAGCGACGGCACAGCGGGAAGAATGGTAAAACTTTTAAATTTTATTTCTGTATTATAAAGGTTTCAATAGTCATAACGTGAAGAGGCTGTGTTTTGGTTAGTTGCCCATTGATCCCCAGGAAATTTTAGACATTGATTCAATAGGATATCTTATGCCTGGGATATAAAACATTTTTAGGTATCGTGCATAATCTTTGGGCAAAACTGATGCTATTACATATTTGGTCTGTGGTAATGCATGTAATTACATTTTGGTCAGTTTAAGCTAAATACAATTAGTATTTTTATATTTGGGCAAAAAAGTGTTATCGTAATTTCACACTTATTTTTGTTAAGATGAAAAATAATTTTATTGAAATTCTAAAATAATGCTAAATGTGAAGACTACTTGAAATTCTGTTTGAAATGTCTTGCATGTTATATTGGAGTATTCTGGAGATGTCAAAAGTAAAAATTCTTTTTAGTACTGTGAGCATTATACAAAAATATGTCTCTTCTCACTAACAATGTTTGTAAGTATACTTTTAATAAGAATTAGATATGTGCCATTCAGAGATGGGCTAATGTGGCTTTCCACTGTAGCTCTTACCAGGTTTTTTAATTTTAATTTTCAGTGTGATTTGGTTGGAATGTTAATTACAGTTTGTTCACATGTATTCACAATTGCATGACTTCTCTTTAGAGGCTGGTAGGTTGAGTATTGTTCTTTTCATCCTGTGATCCCTCTGCCCCCCATGTCAGTCTTTTTGCCTTCAGGATCATGTTTGGATTTTTCAGGTGTTTGTATCCTCCACCACTGGAGAGTAAAGAGACAATATTTTGCAGATAGTTGCCTTGTATCTATACAAACTATATTTGAAGAACCCATTTGGTAAACATTTTAATTTTACACACGATTTACTTACTATATTCTCAACCACTGAAATTTGCCTAGTTTTAGATTGCCTGTTGTCAGTCTACTTTATCACCAAAGGAAAAAGCAAAAAGTTATATAAGACTGGAGTCTGAGTTTGACAAACTGAGTAAATGTTTAAGATGAACAATAATCCCTCTATTTTGGTGGCTAGAGGGCACAAATGACTCACCTTCACTGCTAGTTAATAGTGACATTAACATTAAATCATGTAACTGTATTTGACTTATTTCATAGTGCATTTTGAATCTTATTCATTTCCAGTAATTTGAAATGATCATAAGCAATTAGATGTGAAGGTGGGTGTTGATTCTTACCAGAATTGTCCTTCCCCTGCTATCTAGAACTGTGTAATTCTACAGCTTTTGAGGCAGCCTCTTTTATGGAAAATTGACAACTATTTGTAGTTCATGAATATTTTAAATTATGACCAGTTGTCATCCTCCACTGAAAGATTCACTGAGATTCCTTTTAAGTTAAGCAAGTTTGCACTTACAAAGTAGTTCTCTATTTTTTGAGATAGAATCTTAGCATTGCCTCAATTGGTCTTGAACCTGTGGGCTTTGACTTCAGCCTCCTCAGTAATTGGGACTATGGGTATACACCACCATGCCTGGTAGTTTTTGTCTTTTAAAAGTCTAATATTTGACATGATAATTGCCTAATCATTTGGCCCAATTTTGTTGCAGATATTGAATCTTTGAGCAAAAATTCCCTGAAGACCTTTAAGCTTTTTTTTTTTTTTTTTTTATTACACACTTGCCAACCTAAGTGTTTCTGTTTCCCACACATTGAGGAATATTGGGCAGAAGTTCATTTTAGAGTCTTAATGGTCAGGATAAAACTGTTTAGTGGATAAAAAAAATCATATAAATTGATTGTAATACACTTTGTGTATTTCTGTTTCTGAATCAATTTGTTGTGAACATAGTTTTGCTGTTCTTTTTTCCTTTTGTATATGAGAATGAACAGTTATTTTTTAGGAATGCATCTTTAGTTCTAGTGAATGTTTCCATTGTGTACTATGGGACTAGAGAATAAATGTTCATTCCCATAGTTAAATGACATCTAGAATCTTTGCTTCCCACCCTCTGTACTGGAGATTGAAACTGGTGGTGCTTTACCACTGAACTATATCCCTAGCCCTTTCATTTTTTGGTTTCAGACAGAGTCTAAAATTGCCCAGACTTGCCTAGAACTTGTAATTTTTCTGCTTCAGCCTCCAGAGTCTCTGGGATTATAGGCATACACAACCAGTCCTGGCTACCTTGCTTTAATCTTTATAGTATTGACATCACTAGTTTTTACTAAAAACAATTGCATTAGAAATTCTCATTTTGCTTTGTTATGTAGTATTGTTCTATTCTCTGCAGTGCTATAGTAGATATCTACTGTTGCAGATACTTTAAAATTAACTAGTGTCTGGTAAAATAAAAAACATGGTCATGTAGTAAGCTACTTGGATTATTATTTTTAAATTTTAAAGAACATTAGAAAGCTAGAGTTATGTTAGCGTTCACACAGATGGGTTGATTATTAACTTAACCCCTACCTCCACTTTGAATAGGGTAGGAAGCAGAACAGTCCCATTCAGATATAACAGTATATAGTGGTGTTTCTCCATTAACAGGATAGTAGTAGACTGACTCCTGTAACAGTATATAAGCCCAAGGGTGATTATTTTGGGGAATATTGCTATAGGTTACTTCCTGTGTACTTTTATTAGAAAGGGCTTCATATTTTTGTTTAAAATACTTGGAATTGTAAGCTATACCTTAGTGCATCTGGGACAATATGAACATTGTTTTGTAAAATAATTAACATTTATAGTAGGCCCAAGCCAAATATACTGGCCTTTTATTCAGTAAAGTTGGGTTTGCCAGAAACAATTGAGATCCTGAATCTCGGTATTCTTTGGAACTTTTGACAGCTTTCTTAGGGTTAAAATTGCAGAAAAGGCTGTCTCCAAATCTTGACATGGTAAATGTTTAGGGGGATAGTTTTCAATTCTGCTTTACTTTTTTTTTTTTTTTTTCCCTAAATGATGCTGGGGATTGAACCTGTGCATGAAAGGCAAGCATGTTCTACAGACCCTGAGCTACATCCCCAGCCTGGGAGTATTAAATTCTTTACATTCAAAATCTCATTTGATAGTAAAGATAATATAAATTATATATAATCTCTTAAGCTTAGAATTAGGGAATATTGTTGAAGTTTTTCAGTACTACTTTTTGAGAGAAACATGTTTACCTCAAACCTGGGTTTATTTTTTTTTCCAGTCATGTGGCCCCTTCTATAAAATCAGTGTATATTTTTGATAATGTCTGGTTACTTTGTCATATGCAAGGCTTCCATAATATAAGAGACATTATTTTGGTGTCATTGTGGCCACCATGAAGGATAATAGTGTGGTTTAAGTAATGATAAAAACCATGATTAGAATAACTGCCCCATTCCATTCATAGTTGTGCACTTTAAGTGTATGCAAATTAAATGGAATGATACATAACTTATAATTCTGTTAGTCCAGGCTTGATTTGACTTTAGCTCTGCTTCAGCCTTATAGTAGATATGGGATCTGTTTCTCTTACTTCACTTTCAACAATGTGGTGTCGGGTAATATAACTTGTTTGTTACTTGGTTTGCTAATCAGTATGTTGGAAACAATGCTCACCACAGGAAGATTGACTACATAGAATACATTCATAGCTTGTGTGTATTTGTCCGGTGCCCTAATAGTTGATACTGCCAGTGATTTACTCCTGTGGAGTAAAGGTAAGCATATTTTAGTTTCTGGAGTATTGTGTTGTATGTTGGTGCTAGTTATTTAAGAATATTTGGGGTAACGAGGGAAGATTCCTATTTACTGGCAGTGTTTGGCTAATAATCAGGGTGATAGCTTTAAATATTGGTTCATACAATGTAAACTCCTGCTTATCTAGATTTCAAACCACCAGCTTGGAAAATTCACCCTCTACCTTTTGGTCTTACAAGATGTATGAAACTAGCAAATATTCTTAAAAAGCTAGTCAGCAGACAACAACATGGAAAGAATGCCCCACAATTTTTCCTTATGTTGAAAACTAATGTGTTTTTAAAGGATTGCCAGGTGCTAAAAATTCATCAGGAATTATTTAAAAATCATTTTCTGATTTCAGCATTTATTTCTAATCGAAAACTTCATAGGATTGTGACTTAGTTAAGGAAATACCATTCCTTAACCTCTTAGGTAAATAGGAGTTTACATTATAAAGTTGGTTGAGAATTTAAAAAGTTAAAACACAAGTCATTACTTGTAATGAAATGAAGAAAAAAGGGAAATGGTGGGTTTAAGCAAAGTTTATTTTAGGAAATTAGATTTAATATAAAAGATTAATCTTGCTTAGAAAATGTTTGATCTTTGTACATGTTAGTCTTGAATAAAGAATTTTTTGTACTTTACAATGTCATCCTGTCATGCATTGAAAGCTGAGGGGGGGTTAATAGTGGGAAAATAATTTTGGGGATGATTATTGCTCAATTTTGATGTAGTCTTAAATAGTTAAAAACTGTTTAAAAAGTAGAGTGGAACTTAAAAGTCTGGTTATATTCTTGATTTGTTGTCAACTAATAAGGTTAGCTCTTAGACAAATTCTAAAATCACTTCCATACTACTTTATCTAGTTGTGAAATAACTTTCTCATTATAGGTAACTAATGACTTAAGTTTAAAACCTGTGTTTCTGAGGAAAGTGCTCATGTCTTAGGGGCTGGTGAGATTTTGTTATAATTTATCATTTTAGGATTTTAAAAGGATTCTAATGCTAAAATACCAGAAAATGATTAAAATATGGAGGAATTATATGCTTGAGTAACATTTACTCTAATAGGTGCCAGTGATTGGCCAATTATGGCCCATACCTGAAATGTTATCAGGTTGACATTCTGTTGCATTTTGTTCAACTGTCAGAACTTGTTATGAAGCCACATATGTAAAATCATGAGTTCAGAATTGTTTGAAAGTTACAGAATGCTTTTTGTTGTTGTTGCTCCTATTTCAAAATTGTAAGTACAAACACTTGAGTAAGTGTTTGACAGTAAATTCCAGTAAAGGCTTGTTAGGGAAGGTGTTTTTAAATGTTTGGAATGTTAAATCTTAAGGCCTCAATTGTCAGTTTATTGATGGGGGAAACCCAGGATTATTAAATGAGAGCATTTTCAACCAGCCAACACTATTCTGTATGTATTTCCTTTTATGTTTTAAATTATTTTTTAAAGTGCTGGCATATATGTAGAGGACTGCCAAGTCACCAAAATGATTCATAGAAGCTACATTTAAGAGCTCTTAAATAAAATATGACCTAATTTCTAGTCTGTATGTAAAACTTATTTTGTCCCTTTTCCGTTAATATTGGAAAGTTTATAAAGCCCTTGTAGTTAAAAGTTAAACCATTGAGTAAATGGAAAGCTACATTGTTATTAAGTCATGTTTAGATTGTGCTTTACTCCACTATAATAACTTCACAGTTTTCTGGACAGAATTCCTTGCTTTGTTCTGCTGTATTTAACTCCACTTACTGATATCTTGAGTTAGGCTTGTTACAAATGGGTAAAGAATCTTAGGATTTTTTTTCCCTCTTACTTAGGGTTATTCTGTTAACAAGTGATGGAGCTAGGATTTAAACATAGGCACTTTGGCTTTTACTGCCCTTAAACTTGAACTAAAATGTGATTTTTTTTTTTTTTTTAAAAAGGCCCAGAAAGCAGCCTCAATTTCTTAGTGACACTGCATAGCATTTGGATAGTCATCTACACTGAGTCATATAATTTTATGCTTGCCACTGAATTTTATAATTTGGAGTAATATCAGCAGCTGTGAAAACAAAAAGAATTCTGTTATTGAGTAGGTGTTTTAAATTGCATACTGTATTGCCTTTGTGATTCTGAAATATTTAGCTCATAGATGGGATTAAGAGGTTATTCTTTATCAATGAAATACTGTAGATGAAGTCCTATATTAATCAGGATTGTTGATTCACTTACAACTAAGGATCAAATTTTAAACTTACGTTGCAGCATTAGGAACCAGTTTTGTTGCTACTTGAACAAGTCTTGGTAGTTTTAACTTGGCTGCTTAGGAATTTTCGAAGTTCTATCTACTTCATTGGAAAGTGTTTGCACCTCTACAGGAGTGACAGCAACTTGAAAATCAGTCTTTGTATTCAAGGCAGCAGAGGTAATCTGGACAGACAGTAGGTATTGTGCTTTAAGCAAGATATATAAAATATACATAATTTAAATTGGTATTAGACCAGTGCTTAGTTTGACGAAAATTGTATGCCAGTGTTCTAGAGAGACTAAATAAGTGCCCATTTGTCCAAAATTAAATTAAAATAAACAGATGTTTTCTTGCTGTGATACACAGTTAATAGTTTGCCGTGCTTACTGAATAAATTTGGAATAGATTTAATGTGTTCCATTTAGCAAAGATGGAATGGATTTGATATCATTTGTGTTGTCATATATTCACTGGTCTTATCAGTTGTTAAACAACCTTTCTTAATTAGAAAAGAAAAAGCCACAGGGCTTTTGGGCTGCCAAGGTACTCATAATATTTATCTCAAAGAAGAACCACTTAGGATGTTGCTCAGAAACTATTTACATTTACCTTACACAAAATTTGAAGTTTTAAGAGCTAGCTAATTAAGTACAAAATGGAAAGGAGATACTTTTAGAAAAGCAACTGTTGATTAATAGGGCAGAAATGAAAAGTAAAACTTGTTTTAAAAGCTAAGAAATGAAATGTTCTTAGTATATCCATGAATAGCTGCCAAATTTCAAAGGACCTATGGGCATTCTACAGTAGTAAAATATATTACTGATTACTGACCCATAGGGTGTTGAAACCATGATTGCTATATTTAAGAAGGCAAAAGAGGTGTGATGTTTTGTAGTAAAACATTTCATTCCAAGTAGTTGAATATTTAAAAAACAATAGGAGAGATTAGGGAAGGCAGGCAGTGCTTAAAGGAAGGTAGAGACTAGAAATAGTAATGTGTATTATAGTTGGTCAAAATATTTGATATTCTGGATAGTATTTTGATAGATTAGGAAGGATAGTATCTTCAGTAAACTTTTAGCTCTAAGGTAGACTAAACTTTAACAAGTTCTATAATGACTATTACTGGTGGGAAGTTTCTTTATAGAGAGCACTTTACTGGGCCACTTGATGAATTAGTATAGCATGCTTATCTAATGATTGAGAAAATTAACTTGCCTCTTAAAGAACAGCTTGGGCTTGAAAATAATAATAGAATGTTCCTCACTATAGGTGTTAAATTTCCTTGTAATTGTATTTGTTGACAGTAATAAATTAAGAATACTATGAATATAAATAATACTTTGCTTAAATCAAAACTAGTTGTCTTTATTTGAAGAATAGGACAGAATTTTCTTGCCTTTCAAATTTACCTTTTTAAAATAAGGCTCTATAACTTTTCCATGTAGACTGAAGTACTTTCAAATTTTGTTAGTTAGTTTTGGTAAGTTTCTGTGATGATCACAGATATGATGATTTAATAGTTAATCTTCATCTGAATTTGTATCTGTTACAGAACTTGCTATGCATCTCTCAGCAAAAGGTCATTATTGTGTAGTTAGTGCTCTGTCATTTGTTAAAAGGCTAGAGTCCTCACCTTGAAAGAGTAAATGTTGGTAATAGGCTTTCATAAATGAAGGAAGTATTCTGGATCTTTGGGTTAAAAATAAGGTGTTTATAACAAATTATGTAAGATTTGTACATTAGAAGTATTATTCAAATGAAAGAAATGTGTATTAAGAAAATACCTCAATTTTTTTCATGTAATTGGCAATAAGTAAACATTTGAAATTCACATTTATAGGTGTTTGGGTTATGTTGACTTGGTTATAAATTACCAAGAGTTTTAAATGTTAATTCAAGCATGGAATTTTTGAGGAAGTTCTGAAAATTAAACATAAATGGACCAGCTCTAGAATACATGTGCACTTTGAAAACTTAACCTGAAATGAGAAGCACAGTATGTCTATAAAGTAAGACTTCTTTTGCACTGAAAGTTTTGTCATTAGTAAATAAGTGTAGTAAAACACTAGGATCAGTAATACCTCAGTTAATTAGGCATCTTAGAAGTGAAGAAGAAAGACCTTAATTTCAGGGACATCTTTGGAATGAAGAAGAAAGACCTTAATAAATTGACTTGATGCTAAAATGGGCCTCATTGGCCTATCTTAAAGGCCCTGAGAAGGAGATGTTCTGTATGAAAAGCTTGTTTTAGTTCCTTCACAGAGCTGGAAGTTAATACTATATTTCCCCCATCACTCTCCATGACCCAACCCTAGTAAGAAAGTTGCGGAACCTTCAGCAAACTTTTTTTTTTTTTTTTCCTCATAGGGAAATATTTTAGCCCCCACATAACAAATTCTGACAGTTTACCCTTAAAATTTTTTTTAGCCTTGGTTTTTTAAAAGTATAATAGAAGGTTTAATTAAGTTTTGGATTTCTTTCTTGCTTTTGCAAAGCAAGCAGTTGCAAATAGTATCACAGAATTACTGCCATATCAGACATTTTTGCTATTTTGTTGAAATATTAAGACTAAAAAATCTTTTTAAAACTTTTTTTCTTACCATGTATCTTTGTTCTTGTCTTGGTGATTTTCCACTTACCACCTGTCACTTAGCACTTTAAAAGGTTTAGATATATTATTGCTGGTTAACTGAGGTTCTACTGTAAATAAATCATCTAACTAGTGAATTGTGCTTCATTGGATAATTCTGTTCCTTAAATTGCTTTCACGGTTACATGATTGCTTCTGTCTTTTAAGGACTAAGCACATCAAAAAAGTTTTATAGCTTATGAGGTTTAGAATTTTTTATTTTGTACTAAGAACTCTGCTAATGGGAAAGCTATTAAAAGTAGAGAAGTTAAGCATGGTTAGGAGGCCATGATCATTGGAGACTACTATGTAGCATTGACAAGTTTAATGAAGATTTGTAAGAGAAATTTGGAACAGATTGTCTTGCTATTAATGGTATTTTAGAAAAACTAGATTTTTACTTGGTTATATATTTAACTTTTTTAAAAGAAAGCCAAAAAACTTCTAATTTGCTGCTTGTTCATTTTTTTATAATTTTTCAGCAGCGATAAACAAAGCTTTCTAGAATTTTTTTTTTTTAAATGTGGGGTTATGTAGGAAGAATGACCTTTTAATGCACTGCCCAGTAAATTTGGTGGCAGTTTGGAAAAGATGTGTTAAAAATATGGATAATACTTAAGGCATTTCATTTTCTTTTTAGCATTTTAATACTGCTTTTTGTCTTTACAGGAAAATGTTTATAGGAGGCCTTAGCTGGGACACTACAAAGAAAGATCTGAAGGACTACTTTTCCAAATTTGGTGAAGTTGTAGACTGCACTCTGAAGTTAGATCCTATCACAGGGCGATCAAGGGGTTTTGGCTTTGTGCTATTTAAAGAGTCGGAGAGTGTAGATAAGGTAGTGTGTTACGTGTTCTGATCAGTTAATAATATAGTAAAATGTGTTTAGTTTGATATAATAAATTTGCCTATCTTGTGTAGTTTTACAAGTATAACAAGGAAGAGGCAGATTGAGGAATTATTAATACTCTGTATGCCAGGCTTTACTAAATTAAAATTAACATTTAAAAATCTTGAGACTTGGACTCTTTGTAGCTCAGTGGCTAGCATGTGTGAGGCCCTGGGTTCAATCTCCAGCATCACTAAAAGAGAATAAAACAAGTGTACTTAAAAATGTTGAGACTTGGCTAGGGATATAACTCATGCCTAGCCATGTGTAAGGCCTGGGTTTGATCCCTGGCATTGGGGAAAAAATAAAATACATAATTAATAGAAACTTTAAATGCCTAGTTAAAAGGATGTGCTGTGACCAGTTCACAAAAGCATATTTTGAAATTTTTGTTAGGTAAGCAATTTTTAATCAAATCATTAATTTTGATCCTGGGCCAAGGGCAAGTAGCAGCCATGTTCATGTTGCTGCCAGTTACATGGGATGGTTAAATTTGTGTGGTGTTTCCCCCACCCCCAGTTCTTAGTTATCTGTAGGTTTAGACATTACTATATGTTTGGTGTGTCATATCACTACATGACTTCAGTTTAATCTTGAGCCAGTCAACATATGCCTGGTTTTGTATTTAACTTATTTTTAAGTAAGTTCATAGTTCTAAACTTCAGTTAAAATGAAAAACTTAATTTCCTTAGGTCATGGATCAGAAAGAACATAAATTGAATGGGAAGGTGATTGATCCTAAAAGGGCCAAAGCCATGAAAACAAAAGAGCCTGTTAAAAAAATTTTTGTTGGTGGCCTTTCTCCAGATACACCTGAAGAGAAAATAAGGGAGTACTTTGGTGGTTTTGGTGAGGTATGTTATACAATGTTTTGGACAGAGTTTGTCAAAATTAGTGTGATGCACTTTAAGCAGACTAAAAAGCTAATTGTGTTTTTCCGATGTTATTTAAAGTTTAGCAGATAGTGTGATTTGTTTTAGAATGGAGTACTGAAAATAATGGGCAGATTTTTGGAAGTT